ATCCCTCCCCTTACCTAAAGGCTGGCATCTGTCCTCAAGGTCTCCACCTTCCTCGTTCAGGGCCACTCTCTTCCTAAGAGACTTATCTTCCCATGCATACTGCTGCCAGCTGTCTACCTGTGTCCCCCTGACACAGCAAGCCCCACCCCTGCCCAACCTACCCCCAGTACCACCTCCCACTCCAAATTCCTGTCTCTTTCTGATGCCTCTTTAGGATTTCCCAGTGCTGCCACTAAGTACGTGAATCCAAAGGTGGCTTCCCATACCTGTCCACCCTGTCTTCCCTCCTGAAACAGGCCACTGGCCCCCACCCTACACCTGGACTCCTTGCACCCATCATCCGTGTTCTGTCCCTCACTCCCTGTTTCTCCAACTTTGCTTCCTTTCTCTGCAGCTCTCTCTCTGCTCAAATACTCCATTCCTCACCTGGATGGGTTACTTTGCCTCTATAATCCACTCTCCATAAAGCGGTTTATGTGGTCTTTTCAAAACTCAAAAAGGACCACACCGCCTATTTAGAACTCATCAATCTTTGCCCGAGTCTCACAGTGAACCCCAGCACCATCGTGGAGTGTGCATCCTCTCCGTTTTCAGAATAAAGTCCTCTTCTTCTTTTCTGACCCCTTTGCCTGGCTCACTTACCTTCATTTCACCTCAAGGATGCCGGGCTGTGCCCTCAGGCCAGGTCAGAAGCCCCTCCCCATGCTAGAGAAGCTGTTTCTCCGTAGGACAGTGCTGACTGTGAAAGAGCGCCATACGGTTTGTGTTTCATGAGTCAAAGCCTCCAGTCCTCTGGTTTTAAATCCACATAAGTACCAATGCCCCCCAGGTTTCTCTCCTCGGCCCCAACCTCTCCCCTGGGCTCTGAACTTGAACATCTGACTGACTGTCCTCTGACAGCTCCCCTGGGATGTTTAGCAGGCACCTCAAAAGCAGCCTGTCTGAAACCAGAGTTCCTGCTGCCTGGGCCACATCGGCTCCTCCTGCAGTGTCCCCAGTCCAAGCTGAGGTTGGGAATGTACAACTATATAAGCCTAAGGTGTGATTTAAAAATACAGTGAATGTTCACATTTAAAACTCTTATTATAATAAAAGATACATTGCCAGTAATCCCGTTCCAAATACTCCTTCTTGCTTCAAACACCCTTACCTATCATTCTGGCTACTTTCTAAAGCAGTGCTGGAAGTGCCCTTTTGTGTCTTCAGTTGGACTGTCCCGGCTGCCTCAATGTCTTGAATCAACTCAGAAAGTTTACCTCTTACTCTCATGTTCATTTTGGCATTGGGGAAGAGCCGGAAGGGACACGGTGCCAGATCTGGTAAAGAAGGTGGATGAGGATGTACCATGATGTTTTATAAACCCTTCCACTGGATGGCACTCAGCAGCAGTATTCACTGTATTTTTGATCCTACCTTGTAAAGACATTCACAAAAGAGGACTTTCAGAACTGCTTCAGAAAATGCCAAGAACAATGATATAAATATGCTAGAAGGGAGGGGAAATATTTGGAAGAGTACTCATGGCAATATGTCTTTGCCATAATAAATCTTAATTTAAACATTCACCATATATTTTGATCACTCCTCATATAAATTGTACCAATCTCCTCGACCTTCAAACTGTACTCCAAATCACAGTGGCATTCCAAACGTATCTGATACCCCAAGATAATTTTTTGTAACATCATTTCTATAGACTGAATGTTTCTTTCCCCAAAATTTATTTGCTGAAGCCCTAATTCTTGATGTGATGGTACTTAAAGGTGCTAGGCCATGAGGGTGGATCCCCCAAGACTGGCTCAGGCCTGGTCTTTCTCACTTCCTGCAGGAAGCAAGAGAAGGCCACATGAGGACATAGTCTGGAAGAGAACTGCATTAGTCCACTTTTTGTCCCTATAGCAAAATATTTCTGGTAGCAACCTTATAGAGGAAAGAGGTTTACTTAGCTCATAGCTCTGGAGTTTCAAAGGCATGAGGTCTGCATCAGGTTAGATCTGGCCCAGGCCCACAAGACCATATCACATCATGGGAATGGCAGGGCTCATGCACAAACAAGTACTGCAATCACATCTCTACAGGAAGCCAGAAAAACCAGGTGGGCTTTTCCTGCACCCTCAAGAACCACAAAAGAAACCCATGAGCACTGTCTTCATTAGCTCTGAGAGTGAAATGCTCACTGACCCGAGACCTCTCACTTGGCCCAGCTCTTAAATTCCACTACCTCCCAATACTGCCGCTCCGGGACCCAGCTCCCAGCACACAGACCCTGGGTAAACACGCAAACCACACCCACGCCATAAAAGGTCCCTCACCAAGCACCCAGCCGCGCTGGCACATCCAACCTCTACACCTTGAGAAACAAATGTTTGTTGTTTCAGTTTCTCAGTGTACGGCATTTTGTTCTAGTGGCCTAAACAGATTCAAACACCCTTCTTCTATATGGCAAAATTATTTTTAGTAATAGTCATTCCCATAATTTGGATCTTGACTGTCTCCCAAAGGTCTAAATGGTGAAGGCTTGGCTGCCAGCCTGTGGCACTATTGGGAGGCAGTGGAACCCTTGGGAGGTGGGGCCCAGGGGAAGAAGTTAGGTCACTGAGCTCTGCCCTTGGAGGGCTACTGGGATCTTGATCTCTTTCTCTTTCTGTCTTTATTTCCTGACTGCCATGAGGTACACAGACCTCTCCTGCCACATACTCTTTGTCATGAGGTACGGTATTAGTCAGCAGTCACTGAAGCCAAATGCCTAAGAAAAACAACTGAAAGAAGGAAAGACTTATCTTGACTCATGGTTTCAGTCATGGCTGTCTGGCTCCATTGGTGTGGCCTGTGGTGAGGCAGAGCATCGTAGTGGAAGGGTGTGGCAGAGCAAAGCCATTGATCTCATGGCAGCCAGGAAACAGAGAGCAGAGGAAAGAGCCAAGGAGGAAGGGTCTCAGGACCAGCTACAGTACCCATTCTGTGGTGCTCATTACAGCAGACCACCAGACTGATACAGGTGCCTAAGAGGCTCACAGGCTCTGCCCTGCCTCAGCCTGAGTCTCTCACATCACACCAGCCCATTGACTCCACTCAAACCATGTTCTGCCTTGTTCTGCCCCCTGTAGGGTGCCAGTTCCCTAGGTCAGAGCTACAGACCCTACTAGTAGGCCAGTTACCACCCCCTGCCTCCTCCCCCTCCCCTGCGCCCTCACCTGCTGGTGCTGCTCATGGAACGCCCATCCTCCAGGCTCCAGGCCTCTGTCCTTGCCAGAATGCCACTTCCTCAGGTGTCCACACAGCCAGCTTCCTTCGTTCATAAGCACCTCCTCAGTGAGGCCTGCACATTATACACCACAGCACTTTCCATCCCCACTGCAATAAGCCTCAGTTTAGTGTCCAGGCTCAGGGCCTGAGGTCTTGGCAGAACAAAGGCCTCCTTTGATCACCTCAGTCTCCCACCTAAAATGATGCCTGGCACAGAGTTGGCAGTGAATGGTGCCGGGCCCCAGCCATGAGGGCAGGAAGCAGCCCTGACAGGACAACGACTCTACCCCCACGGCCTCCACTAACAGCTGGCACATCTGAGTTCTGCATTTGAATGTGTGCGTCCTCTTGGATTCCATGCTTTTTAAATAAATTAGCAAATACAGTCAAGATTGCTGAATGAGTCTTTAGAGACCTAGCTCTTTCAGATAAGAATGAAGAGGGATTTTAGAGGAGAGGCAAAAGTAGTGTGGTAGGGACAGAGGGTTAGTGGAAAGGTCTGGAAGTTTCTCTGCCCATGAGGGCATCCAGGCATACCTACAACCTGGACTTAAGACAGGACTTAGCTCTCCAATTAGAGCACACAAGCCAGGGGAGAGGTGTGCCCTCTACTGATTCACCAGGCACATTTCTACCCCGGCCCCAGCCAGGCCTACATCAACAGTCACAGCCTCTTCCTGTCCCTGGCCTATTCCTCTCATAAGCCCTTCTCTGGGGTCCTTCGCTCCTCCAGGGGGGCGCTGGGAACCATTCAGCCTAGGCCATGCTAAGTTGTCAATAGCCAGGAAAGTCCCTTTGAAGGGAGTGAGCATTTTAACACCATTTCAGGTTCCTCGGGAAGGGCTTTAGGATCATGCAAGGCAGGAGCAGGCCTTTCCTCGGGTGAGGGAAGACAGGCAAACTCTCTCCTGCTGCGCCTCAGTTTTCATGACTGTAACAGGAAGTACATCACAGTCTCCTGGCACCTGCATGGGAGGGTAGAAGACAGTGGCCAGGAAGCTCCTGTCCTCTGGTCTGAACACAACAGACCCTGGACTTAGGCACCATCCACAGTAACCATGGCAACCATCGTGGTGATTGAGAGGAAGCACACTGGAATCTTCAGTAGTGGAGTCCCAGCCCCAAGGACTGAACTGAAGATGGCCCAGAGACCCACACAGCTACTCCACTTTCCTGCCAACACTGCCCAGTGCCCACAAAGCCAGTGTCAGCACTGTGACTCTGAGGACCCTAATGTGGTGAGGTGGCACCTAAGCACAAGGCCCATCAGACTCCCCTAAGGACATGAGTACAGCTACTGAGATAGTCCGTCGCAGAGGGGAGGAGTGCTGGGACTCTCAAGGCCCAATTGTTCCCTCCCCAGGAGGAGGCCACTGTCATTCTCTGGCAGTTCCTCTGTTCTAAGTGGAAGCTATTGCGTATAAGCACCCAGTGCCAGCTACTGTAAACCTCTCCAGGGTCTCCTTTTACTCATTGCAAAGTTGTGGCTGAGGGGAGGGAAAATTCCATTACAAGGGAAGAAGGGCGTCTTGCTGGGAATGGAGTTCTTATAAGGATGGTGCATTTCCTAGGGGACCCTAGACAATTTTGCTCCTGTGTGGGCTGACACCTTTCAGAATGGCTCATCCATGCCTGAGGAAGCTAGAGAGACATCTCACCTGGGCCACAGTCAGAGTGTAGCCCTCTGGAGCTGGGACCATACGGGCCATGGGGTGACAAGGGTCTTCTCTGCTGCCTCAGGTTTAGCTCTGAAGTTCCAGTCACCCAGTAGAGCCTGGTCCCTACCCTGTGCACACTCATCCTTATCTCCTGTGCCACACTATGCAAAGACCATGCACAGATACAAAACCTAGCCACCTGCTCACCTGTGCTAGAGAAGAACTGACTTCCCTACAAAAACACCGAGATGTGCATTTTCAAAACCCTCAGGTGAGTATTTTCAAAAATTTTATTCAGTTTTTTAAAAATGTTAACAAAGTTAGGAATCTGTGTGGTTTCAGGACTGTTCTGGCCCTGCCCTAGCCCTGACACACAGTAAGTGTCCTCCCTCTCTGAGCCCTGTGACCACATGGGCCCAACCTGGCCAGCCGTGCCAAGGGAATGAGGGCCAGGCTGGGCCCTCTCTGCTGCCCTCTGGGATTCCCACAGGAAACAAGAGAGGTATTTTCACAACTCGAGAGGTCTTTGAGCTTGTCTGGGGGGTTCTATCACCCACTTTTGCAGGAAACCTGTGGTGGAGGGCTGCCCTACAGAGTTAGACAAAACAGCTGTCCCCTTGGCCCATGCCGTGGTTTATGGCTTCCTGGAGATAATGGTTCTTTTAATGCTATGCTCATAAGTCTTTTTTTAAAGAAGATGACTAACTTTGATTTTCCAGTTTTCAGAGTGATTCTCTTACTCCCCACCCTAGAAGATGGGCATTATCTCCCTTTCCGCACCCCTGCACAGCACCACACACAAGTTTGCACACTTTCCATCCCTCATTGTCAACAACATGGTTACAGCCTAATTCTGGATGGACTGAAAATACAAAAGTTCCCACACTCCTGCAAAAAGCCCCATTGTTCTGTAGCCATGGCAACTCAAAGAAGCAGAACCAGCGTTAAATCCTTTCAATGGCCTTAGAGAGTATATTTTGCAGTCAACCAATCAGTGTGGGCTCCTCCCTGAAATTCAGCCAATCAGGGAACAAACTCACCGAACTAATCCAGCTGAATGCCAGCTCTCTTGCCCAATAATATACACGGGTGACCAAAGACCTCACCTCCAGCTTCATTGGTTGGCTAATCCCTACATTCCCTGCTCTGATCTTTCTGGAAGACTGCCTGAGCAGCAGAGTTCTGGCTTGCTTGAGTGGCAATAAATTCAGTTTGGCCTTTTGTTTTGAAGTTGAGAGATGGGCTCATTATCCTTGACAAAAATAACATTCATTGTTTATATTGTAACAACGTTAAACCCTTTCACAGCCAAGCCCTTTCTTGCATAACTTTTATTTTATCTGAAATTAATAATTGCTTTATATTTTTCATATGCTTGTCTTTTCTTGCATAACTTTTTTGTTTTCACATGCCATGGATAATTTGGGGGTATTATTTATCTGGTTTTTTGTTTTGTTTTGTTTTGTTTTTTGTCTCTGCCTGTCCTTAATCTATTCCTGAACTCCTGCTTCTATCCTGTGCTCCTTCCTGGTTGGTGTTCCAGTACATTCACTGTCCCCCCAATTCCATTTTCCTGTGAGCCCCTGACTGCTCTAGGTGCTCTGGCCTTGCTGCTTAGCTATTGTATGGTCTCCCATAAATGTTGTTGTGGGGAACCCCTCCAGCTCTATCCCTTTGGACCAGTATTTCTTGCAGCCTGGACAGGAGGTGTCCTTGTTTAGGAGAAGCCCATCCCCTGAGAGCACGGCAGGAAGTAGGGGGCTGAGAGCATGCAGGTCTCCCGTGCCTTACGCTTCCTCTCCAGGTGTTTGGGCTGCTATATGGGCTGAGCAGAGTTGTGTCTACTCCCAAATTCATATGTTGAAGCCCTTGTCCCCGTACTTCAAATGTAACTGTGTTTGGATCTAGGACCTTTGAAGAGGGAAGTTCAGATGAGGCTCTCAGGTGGAGCCTAATCCAGTTGACTAAGTAAAGGAGATTAAGACACAGTGTGCAAAGGGGGAGGATCATTTGGGGACACTGAAAAAGACAGCCATCTACAAGCCAATGAGAAAGGCCACAGAAGAAATCAAACCTCCTGATACCTTGATCTCAGAGGTTTAATCTCATCATCCAGGACTGTGAGAAAATCAACTTCGGCTGTTTAAGCTACTAGGCCTGTGACTTTGTTAAGGCAGCCCTGGCCAATTAACACAGCTGCTATAGTATTCTATGATCAAGATTAGGCTCTTTCAGAATTTTAAACATATTGCCCTGCTTTCTTTCAGTGTTCCGAATTTCTAACAAGATTTTTCCAGCCTTCTGATCCCGGGTGCATCATATCCAGCCCATGGTAACCTACTTCCAAGAACTTCCAGGGTAATTGTTTATCCTGTGCTCTGAATATGAAATGTGATGGGGAAAATCTCATCTGTCCTATGTTTTCAGCTGAAGCTCATCTCCACTGTTTCTCTCATAGTCCAGGCTCTGAGAGACTGAAGCAGAGCTTCGGAGCACCAGGAGGGAGCATTACAGTGGGCCCCTCCTGCTCAACTTGTCTGGCTGGATCTTTGGACTTGCCTCCTATCCTCCTCAGCATCTGAAGGGACACCAGGACCTGCCTCAGTCTCTGGTCATCTGGCATCAACGTATATTTGGTGTCCTCCCTCGATGAGCCCTGTAGCCACATGCTCAGCAGGCCATGCTGCTGCCCAGGGCTCTGAGGATGCAGGGTCAGGCCTTCTCGCTGCCTAGGGTCCCCATAAGAAATGGCATATGTGTTCTTGCAACTCTAGGATGTCCTGAGCTCATCAGGGGTTCTATCATCCCACTTTTGCACTTCCAAACCTCTGAATCAGGAGGATTCTGGGGCCACCAGCAGCCAGACCTTTTGGGGCCAGCCTGCTGTCTGCTCGCCTGGACCCCTCATGTCCCGATCACCTGGGCTCCTACCAGGTGCTTCCCAACTTCTGACTTGGCAGAGGCAGGAGTCCTCCTGTCCCTCGCCTACAGCCCTTTCTAAAGCATCCACTCCGGTGGCTTCTACTCATACCTGCTCTGTTCTCCCTTCCATTGAATCAGACTCAGACCTTGAATGAGGAGTAAGAGGCACACGAGTAGGAGATGAAAAAAAAAAAAACACCCACTCTATGAAGCATATAATATACATGAAATAATGCAGCAAAATCATCTTTTTCTGTCTTTTTCATGGGACAAATAGAGATAAAAGCTGTCTAAGATTAAATGTCTACATTACTTTCAAAAAGCCATGCTGGCCTGACCCTCTCTGCTAACGTGTCCACCTGCTGCCCACTTGCTGCAGAAAGCAGGTGACTGAGATTAGAGTGGGCCTGTTTGTGACGTCGGCATCCAGCTCTGCCAACCCTGCCTGTCTCTGGTCCTGCCTGGCCCGGCCCTCTTGCACCTGGCTGTGTAGATGCACTAGGATCCCCCATACTCAGATCGGTTTTTCTCCCAGCGTCCTCAGGCTTTAGAGCACAATGGGCTGCTCGGACCCTGGTGTGGGAGGGCAGCTGAATATAGAAGGCCCCCAGCCTGAGGCGGCTCAGTGAAATAATTTTCATCTCAGTGACGCGGCAAAGTGGCATGTGCTTCAGTTCTGAATTTGAATCTTTTCCCAGCCAACAATATGCAGTCTGAGCCTCTCCTGATGCTGGCAGCAGCCACAGCTCCATCAGCCACCCAGTCACGAAGTAGAGCACTACATCCTGCGTTGCCACATCATTCAGTTCATCACACAATACGTTCAACACATACTATGAAGTGGGCTTCCTGTCAGACAGTTCTGCCCAACTGTAGGCTCACGTAAGAGTTGTGAGCACGATTAAGGTGCACTAGGCTAAGCTATGATGCTCAGTAGGTTAGGTGTATTCATGCATTTTCAACTAACAATGGATTTATCAGGACATAACCCCACTGTAAATTGAGAAGCATCTGTACTAGGAATTTACACCCCCAAAGCACTCCTCTCCAGAGTTTGTATGCAAGTGTTCCAGATCCCTGCCCTGGGAAAGGATGGTTAGGTGTGCATTTTGTACCATTTCCCAGTGTTTCCTTATAAGATTAAGCCAACAGTGTGCTGGTAAATGTTTTCAGCTTGCTTTCTGGTGTAGAAGAGGCTGATCCGTAGTGTTCCCTGTTTTCTGTAGTGTAACCATAGCCAGTTTCACCTGTGCATAGGGTGTGTAGGAGAAGCCCACCCCGTCAGCCCTGGGAGCAGGCTGTGGTCACCACATCTCCCTGTCTTCCTCGTCCTGTCCCACTCTACTCTTTCCTACTGGTGTTGACTGTCCCTCCCACATAAACTACCTCCTCTCCAGTTCATCTCCAGGCCTGGGGCTCAGCACAAAGGGAAGTATTGTCCAGAGGGCAGAAAGTGGCACCCCAGTCCCCACACCAGGTAAAATAGATTCAGTTGGAGAACTCCCACAGGCCTAGAGTCATCCTGGATCATGCCACCTCCACAGTTTTGTCAGAAACTCACCTCAGCTGTGTAGAGCCTGGGCTCACACACTCAGTTAGAAGGTTTGGGATCGTGTTGTTCTCAGGGTCTGGGATGAGATTCTCCCTAACCATGGAGAAAATCCCTTTGAGAATGAGGTGCTGAGGGGTCCTGCAGCTGAGGTCCCAGCAAGACGGTAGACAGGAGAGAGGGCATGGGGGTGAGGCATGGAGGCTCAGAACACTTACTCGTCCATTTCTAGGGTAAGCCAGACATGTCACTCCTGTACCTGCAGCTGCTCCGGCCACAAGGTGGTCATGGTAATACCGACCCCGAGATCCTCCTAGATCCCAGCTTATGCCCAGCACATGGTAAGCGTCACACAGAGGTAAGGAAGAGGAGGCCGAAGAAAAGCAGTCACAGCATTTCCCATCCACCCCAAGCTCTCATCTGTGAAGTAGGAGTACTGAGCATGCCAGCAGCCCAGTGGGGCGGCATGGGTGAGCTGACTTGTGTCAGCAGTGAAGAAGGAATGCAGCTAAGCCCAGGCTGGCAGATGCCCTGGAGTCAGCCGGAGGCTGAGAGGGTGGAATTTTCAGGGGCAAGCACCTGTGCTTGCAAGGGGAGAAACTGCTGGCATCCCTTCAAAGTGTTTTCTGTTTTGTTTTGGGTTTTTTGTTTGTCTGTTTGTTTCAGAGGTGGTCTACTGAGATAACTACAAACAACCAGTTTAAACCATCCAAAATAACTGAGCCACTGTTCCAGGTGACCTAGAGTAAACTCTGCCCATTAATATCTCATCGGAATGCTAAGTTCTCCACCCAGTTGCCTCTTCTCCCACGATCTTTGAACCTGTGCTCTATGAAGAAGCCTGGTCCCAAACTGACCATCCTCAGGGGTGTACCCACCTCTTCGTGTGCAGCATCATTCTAATTCGAATATGTTTCATTTCCCAGGGAAAAGCCCCTTGCTTGCTTTGTCTGGGGAGGTGCTGCTTTGGAAATGATCCCCAGAGCTCCTCTTCTTTGCTGCAAGAAATAACCCTGTCCTCACCCTTACCTCCTGATTGTGCTCATTGGCTCTGTACTCATCAAGGAGGAAGCCCAGTGTGTCGAGCCACACATCCTCTGACTGCCAGGTCTGCCTGGGCTCACTTTGGAGGTAACTGGTGTCCCACACCACCACTGCTGAGCAGTCTACCCCACAGCGCCTCTCGGAAGAGATGCGCAGAGGCCGATGGTGCTGTGGCTGACCACTGCTGTGCAGAAAATGCCGAGCACACCTTCACTACAAATAGCGGCAGAGTGTGGAGGGTGAGTGAGGAGTTAGATTGGGTTTTTGCCCTGCATGCTTGCAGATACAAAACTATACTTTGAGAATCAGCCGGATCCCTATGGCTAATTCCCCTTTTGTTCCTTTATTTTCTGCTAAACTAAACTGTGCAGTCATTGGTTAATTTGAACTTTTAAACTTTTATCAAGGATAATTATCAAGTGTTTGCTGCTGGAATTAGTAAGAACCTTTTTTTTTTTTTCTTACCAAGACAAATGGCAGCATTTTGAGATTGGGCCATTCTGAACAGAGAGGCAAGCTCTCCTGGAAGTGCTGTGCTGAGGTGGGGATAAGCTCGGGCTCCCCTTGTTCTTGAGAGGCTTCTCACTGTGGAGGTCTGGGGTGCCCAGGCTGCCAGGGTGCTGCTGAGGACAGCAGGTTATGTGGGAAACAAGCAGCCTGGGGCTCACTGCCTGCTGGGGTTCAGAGACTACTCCTCCCAGCACCCCCGATTCTCTGCCAGATAGGTTGGAACATCCCCCTGGATGGGTTAGGAGGACTCCCAGGTCACATCAAGAAGCTCAGAGGTCAGTGTCTGACAAAGGGTGGACATGTAGCACTCAGCTCTTCCGCTTCTTGTCGAACCACCCACTCTTCCTTGGGCACCTGATTTGTGCACATTCTCCTGAAGGCTGGCCTCTGCCCTTCAGGGACTCTGATTTCTCCTTCCGACAAGCAAAAGAGTGAGAGGTATGCTGACAATAACTCATCTGTAGGGGGATTTGTATCTGCCAATGATCATCCTAAATGTCTATAGGTTACTTCATTTAACCTTCCTAATACTCTTCATCTCATTTTACAGGTGGAAAAATTGAGGTACCAGTAGATTAAGTGAATTATCCCAGGCCCAAGGCCAAAGGCCAGTTAAGATTCAGGTCCTCTATTAGCTCCCTTGCTCTGCCTCTCGTGGTGTGGGACTGATTGCTCCACAGGTGTGTGCTACTCACACTCAGAGGAGGAAGGCGGTAAAGCTGAGGCTTCCAGGAAGCTGTCCTGTGGATGTTGGACATGGTGCAGGCAGACCGTGGAGAATGGCTTCAGAGGGAGCTGACCAGGGCTTAGGCAACAAAGCTGTTAGGCAAAGCACGTGTGGTGAGGTTGGAAGAGAGAGTCACAGCTGGCCCAAACCACTTGCAGTCAGCTTTCCTCCAACTCAGACACTCTTCAGAATTCAGTTATATTTCCCTGCATCATTCTTCTGTTCAGTAAGCATTTCTTAGCCCATTCTGATGCAGAGATGGACAGAATTAGGTTCTAGCTAACGACCCTTGCTTAGGAGCCAGACCTAAGCAAGTGGATGTAGTGAGATGTGTCAGGATCTCTGTCAAGGGGAATAAGACATATGGGAAGAGTCCAACAAGAGGGTCTAGCCTCCAGGCATAGAGAGAGGCAGGGCTTCCCTACAGGAGGTGTGGCCTCCTTAGTGCAGTGGCAACATTAATATCAGTCAAAGTAGGTTTTAGTAGTCCTAAACATCTGCGTATCTAGTAATAGAATTTCAAAATGTATGGTGAGGGGCCAGGGGATATAGCTCAGTGGCATAAGTGCCTACCTGGCAAGTGCAAGGTCCTGAGTTTGAATCCCTGTACCAAAAAAAAAAATGTATGGTGAAAAGCCTGATGAGACCAAAGAGATGGAAAGGCAGAACTACAGCCAGAGACAGAGATCACAACACCCTTCTCTCAATAATTAATAACACAAGTAAACAAGAAATTAGTAAGAATAAAGAAAATTTGAAAAATGCTATCAACAACTTGTCTTAGTTACTTTTCTCATTGCTGAGACAAAATACCTGGCACCCAAAGTTAAAAGAGGAAAGGTTTATTTAGCTCACAAATTGTAGAGGTTTCAGTATATAATTGGCTGGCTCCAAGGCAAGGTGGTGTGGCAGAGGGGCGTCACAGAGAGGAAACAGTTCATGGCAAACCAGGCAGAAGGCAGCAAGCAACAAGCAACAAGTTACACACCAACAACCTTTCCATCCCTGATATTCTTATCCAGGCTATCAGCCCTTAGGGTAGAGAGCGCTCACACCCTTAATTCTAGCATTGCACCATGGATCAATCCCCAAATCACATCCTTAATCCCAGCATCACACACTCTAGATTCAGCCACCTCTTAAAAGCTCAACCTATGACCACATGAGGTTCTGGAGGCACATAGAGATATAAGCCATACACAACTTGATGTAACTGACATTCTTAGAACATTCCATCAAAAATAGCAGAAGATTCATGTACCATATATCAGCAGAAAATCTCCCACGGACAGTATACTTCAGTTTCTCTTAGTCGCCCAGGAAACCTCCAGTTTACTTCAGTTTCTGTTAGTTTCTGTTACCTCTGTTTCCCAGTAATGGCTGATCACTACAATGCATAGCTTGTCACTGTGCACATTGTAAGAACAAGTCAATACTCAGCTTCTATACTTCCTGCCCACAAACTCCATATAAGCCCTAAACTACCAG